TTTGCTTGAAATGGCATGTAGCTCTGATCTCTGCTTATCAAGTTTTCAAGTTTTACCTAACATATCACGTCCTCTCTGAAGCCCTCCCGTAAGTAATTTCTTCTGAACCCCCAAAGAACGTAGTTTATACTTTTCTGACACCTAATTTTGTTGGTGTCAGAAAAGTTGCTGTAGTATCATTTGTATTCTATTAGTATGTTGTATATGCCTTAAGTCTCTCGATGTAAGATATAGAAACCATTTAGTCAATGTCCAATAAGTACATTAATAATAAAACCAATTTCAAGCAGAATTATCAAGATTTTAATTGAACTGGGACAAGTGCAGGGCTTGGATATCTTTGGAGAAAGCTCAAACTTCATCTTGAATAGGGTGAGGAGAACTTTAGCCTATAGGGATCTACACCAGACTAAAGGTTTGTGTCCATTGTCTGCCTTCATTGAAACAAAGTAACAATAGCCAATAGTAGTTTGGATGGTGCAGAAGTGTTCAGTAAGTGTTGGTTGAATTATCAGAAGAGTAAATGCTTAAAGTGATTTTTGGATTATATATACTGAATAGTGGCATTTAGAAATTGTATGGCGGGAAACCCAATACAGAGTTTTGAAAATGTGTCTAAGGCAATGATGACACTGTAATTTGGAAGGGATTGAAGACTGTCCCTTGAGGTATGAACAGGCTACTGTTTGAATCTTTCTTATGCACCTGATACTGAAGGGGAGTTGATTGCAGTAATGGGTTTTATAGGGTTATGCATATATCTGGTGGAATATTCAAGAAGAGCTCAAAGAGTCAATATGATTTCAACTGTAGGGGAATAAAAACAATTATGACTTTAGGTGACAGTGAAGTGATTGCTCTTAGGCTCTCCAATATATACCCTTTCTAAACTTTTAGAAGGAATTTTTTGGCTTATATTTTTCCTAGGACAATACCCAATGATTAGAAAGGCACAATTAGCCATCACTGTTTGAGGGTTATGGGCCAGGCACTGTGTTTATAAGTGGGCACTTAGATTCACATCAGCTCATTTAGTTAATAGAATAGCACTAAGGGGAGGACAGTATCATTCCAATTTCACAGATGAAGCTGGGGTTACTGCACACCTTACTCCAGGTTTCACAGCTAGTAAAGGATAGGCCAAGGATTCAGATCCAAGAATCTGAACTAAACTTTTCAGATTCCAAAGCCTGTGGCCAAACATATTGAAAAGGGATGGTGTAGTCTCAACATTTCCTCATAGAACAACAGTGAAAAAGTATTTCTGTTGATGAACTTTAACCAATGTATCTGAATAAATGCTACTTAGATTTTGATGAATCTACCACATTAACCATTATTTGGAAACTTCTCTGGTAAGTTTTCTCTAATCTAGACTCCCTTTATATATCCCAACTCCTGGCCACTTGATTAAAATGTGCTGTCAGACAGATGGGCACTACCATATTTCAATCCACATACTTACTAGTTGCAGTCATGCTTACAATCAAATATATGACTAGAAAAAGACTGGTTTTGTCTATTACAACTAGTCTTGACTTGCTAACATTGTTTGACAACATGTTACTAAATCTTTTTATTAATGTGGAATTTAGTGCAAGATTTCTAATTCTAGAAGGCAGCTCTTGTATACAGAATAGCAAAGGACTTGAAATAAAGGAGCATAATTTTTTTGAGCCCCCTACTCTGTATCAGTCACAATTAAAACATTTTATTTCACTTTTCCCCCAAACTACCTTGCAAGGCAAGGTCATTGAGGTGTCCTTTTTTTCAGATGAGGAGGATAAATTTTGGAGAGACTGTGGAATTTGCCCATACATGGGGAGAGTCTAGCTGGGGTTCCAGCCCAATCCTGTTGGGTCTCAGTACCTCTCCCCATTCCACGAAACCCCTCTGATGCCTATCTCAGCAAGGCCTGACTTATAACATGATTAGGAGTGTATTTGCCAAATTGTCATTAAGCTCTTTGTGTCTTTGTTTATCTTTAAGATAAGGAAAAAACTATCTACCACTCAGGGACTAAACACACTATGCAGATCCAAATCATTTAGCACAGTACCTGGCACAATATGGAGATTGATGAATGTTGCTTTAGTTTATATAAATTATCTGAGACAGGCAGGAAAAAGGAACTTTCCATAATTTGACATCATTGAGCCTTTTTCCCCCCCATGCCCATGAGAGTCAAGAGCATAAGCATTCCACTAATGAAATCCGAAGGAACAGGGTTAACTAAATTTGCTTTTCTCTTTGAAAACTGGTAACCTATGTGTGGATAGAGTACACTAATTCAGTTAACTGACATGTCAGGATCATGGTGAAAAATGTGGAGTCTCATGATGGATTATCCAGTTGGCAAAGTAAGCATGTGTGTAGGGAACTGGTAAGTCAAGGACACCTGAGATATGAGAAAGGTGCCAGCTATAGTGAATATTTGCAGGATTTTATAATCCAAAAATCTAGAAAGAAGCTGTAAAGATGTAAGCATTCATTTATATTTTGCCTTTGGACTTAATAATTTTTAAAAAAAAATTGTCGATATGCCAGGAAACCTGGAAAGAAGGCATCTAAAGCTTTCCAGGGCTTAAGACATTATATAAGCAAGGTTCTGCCAAACCATTAGAAGTTCGTTGACTTGTAGCATATACTTATAAGTTACCAGACATTTAAAAAGAAAAAGTATAGTATCCAATAATACTTCCCAGAATACAATGTTCTGTCATCTTACCTGTTCAGAAGTGTTCTCCAGCTTAACCTATCATAGCAATCTAAATAATAATGCCTCAGTTGACAGACAACAGTTGTGTAGTCCATAAATATGCCACTTCTCATAAATGTATAGAAGGAATTAGTAACTGGTTAGAACATTTTATTTCACATGGTCCTAGCTTACTTTTAATAAGATATGACATGTTTAGCTCTAGTGTAAGATCTCTTACTAAATGTTTAGAAAATAAAAATGCATCATCATACAAGGTTTGGGGAAGAACATTTTATTGCTAAGCATATCCTTGAACGAAAATGCAAATATAAAATAAAAGAGAAAGGAAAAAGAAAAAGCAGTAACTTCACAACATCATAAAATAAATTCCTTAAGAGTCTGCTCATAAAACAACAGGAATATGATAGAAGCTCACATACAGAATGCACATGTTCCCATAAAATTGTCCAAATAGAAACTTACACTGAAAGGAATATAACAAATGTATTTTTACTCAAAAAAAATTTAAGAAAGAAAGCAGGAAATCAGTTCACAAGACCTCAAGACTCCAAAAACAGCAATCTTTTACAGACATCGAGATATAATCAACTTCATATAGGTTGGGCCATTTAAGTTATCTAAAGTCGTGCTTTGATATCTCTTTATAATCCTGTCTTTTTTAATGACAACAAAAAAATCTGAAACTCATAACACACTGAAATATCAGATAATGAGGAACATCTCTTTCCATATACATCCATCAAGGCTACCATTGTTTCGATTGCGCTTTTTGCCCCGTGACTTTAAGATATTTCTCGAAATCAAGTATTCATGCAACTTACAAAGACCAGCAAGAGTAGATTTCTAAATCTAAACAGCTTATTGGTTTTCATCTGTACAAAAGAAATCGTATATATCCGACCCTCCAGAAGACATACTTCATTTCTGTGTGCATGTTTGTCTTGCTTTATCTCTTGCTTTTGGGATTTTCTTTGGCCACACAACCAGTTTGTTTTTCTGTACATTGTTTCCTCTTTTCAAAAAGAAAGACAGAGAACTGGAATATAAACCAAACGAACTGAAACAAACCCATAGAAAAGAACAGACAGTTCTTAAAGCGGTTATGTACATAGGTGGCTAAGGAATTTATACCAGCAAAAATGTAGTAAAATATGTAAACAAAATCTGAGAAGATTGTTTATTCTCTTTGACACAGTTAACTGTGACAAAACTAAAACTCACACTTTCTTCACATTTTAAGGTTTACTTTTTTGTTGTTTTGTTATTTTCTTTTAAAACAACAGTCTCATTCCACTTCAAGACTTGAACAGTTTTCCTGTTTCAGTCATCCCATCAAACATACCATGATAAATATATCTGTATATATATTTATTTATATATATATTATACTATTAAATTCCTTTTTGTTGTGTGTCACAGCAGCTTTATTCATTTATTATTTATTTATTTGTTTTTAGAAAAGATGGGTGAAGGGAGACGTGAGCGAATGGAAGGACAGAGTTATCTGTAAGTGTCAGGCTACAAAATTAAACTACTATGAAAAACATCATGTTGGGGGCGGGGGGAAGAACTATGTCTTTTGCACTCTGTCACCACGTTTGGCTTGTGTGACCTTTTGTGGATCCATCACACGCTGAACTCCCCTACTGTCTGTTTTGATTCTTTAACAGACTTTTAGTATTGTCTTGTCTTTTATTATGTGCATGCATTTCAGTCAGTCAAATATCCAGCCCACCCCCTCTTCCCCTTCCCTGGGAAAGGCTCTGTTTTGTGGGGCTCTCTCCTTTACCACGATTTGGCTGGGCTAATGAACAGGAACAATATTGTTAAGTAAAGCCAGTAGCTCTGATAAAACCAGCCCTAAACCCGTCTGGTCAGGGTTTGGGTGGCAAAATCTGAAATTAGATCCTGAGGGACCAGCTTTACAAATCAATGCCATCATCCATCATGTGATTTTGCTATGTGTTCAGCAAAGCATCATATAGGAAACAAACAACAGATTCTAGAAATACCACAACCTGATATGTAGAGTGAACACCATGGTAGCTTTTAAGTTCATATGGCAATAGTCTCTCTTACTTTCGTTTTCTGAGTTTTTTTGTTTTGTTTTTTTTTCTTCTTCTTACGTCCAGTCATTCTCAAAAAATAAAAACCCAAAAGCCATTTTTTTTTTTCCCCTCAGATCTTGAAAAGTTACACATACACTGGCCAAAACCAGATAGATAAGGGTGGGTTTTTTTGTTTTCGTTTTTAATTTTTTTCATTTTTTTGTTTTTGTTTTTTACATAATTAAACCAAAAGAAAAGAAAAAACATCGTTACAGTCAAGCTTCACAAACATCATTACAGACTCACTTGGAGTTATGGAACAAGTAAGCCATGAAGTCTTCTACCTTGGGTGAAAAGTCCTCAAGAGAAGGAAGCTTCCAAGTCCGCGAAAGTGGGGGAGCCATCGGCTTGCTCCAGAGCGCAGAGTGTGTGCTTTATGATACAGCAGGGCAGAGAGAATGTTCTGTCTCCGAGCAATGACTGAATCAAAGCAGCCATGGCTGAATTTTATAGGTAGGTACATCTTTGTGTGCGTCCTTTTAAAAATGGTTTTCCCCACCGTAGTCATGGTACACCCCATCTCATAGTAATCACAGTTCTGACATCTGTGAAGTTCATTTTCCAAGTATTTATAGATGTATATAGAAATAATTCTGTGTCATAAATTCACGTGACTGTGAGCGGTGTCATTTTTACACGTAATACTCCTTGTCCTTGTTTTTCTGTTTCTTGTGGCCGCTCTTTGAGCTCTGCTGCTTCTCTTTGATGAGCGTGCCATTGCTCTGGGCCGAGTTGCTGATGTAGTTCCGCGTCTCGTCCACTTGATAGGACCCCTCGTCCCTGTTCCTGTACTTGTACATGGCATACAGGAGGATCAAGATGCAGAGGGCAGCAGCAGCCACAATGCCGACGACCATCCCTGTTGTACTGCTCGACTCCCGGATCACCTCTGAGGCCCCCGGAACCCGTCTGACTCCCGGCTCCGTGGGGTTTGCTGTGGGCACATTACGGAACATGGGGGAAGTAATTAGTGGGCTCTTCAGTTTGGTGCTGTCTAGCTCATAGGCAGTGGGCAACGGAGGCAAGACTATATCAGGCTGGGGTTTGAGATCACGGTTATTCATTTTGCCAGCTGGCAATTTGGGCACCATCCCAGACGAGGAGGAAGCTGTGAAGCGGATCAGCTCAGGGGACAAAGATGTGGTAGTAGTCCTACTAGTTTCGGAGACTTTGTTAGGTCTAAAGTCCTTGGATTCCCACTTGGGCGCATGTGCTTTGTAGCCACCTTCGAAGATTGAAGTGGAAAGACTCTTATCTGTTACCAAGGAGAAGGTGGTGTAAAAATCTTCATCATCAGTAGGGGGCAGGTTAGAGTCAAAGGTTTCCCCTGAGCCATACCCAGATATCACCAAGCCATCATCATCACAACCATCGCTGCCTTGGTCCGACAAGCAAGGTAACCCCGCCTCAGAGGTCATGGACAGGGAATCTTTGGTGGTCTCAATAATGGTGAGGAGGGGGCGGAAGGTAGGGGGGAGTGTAATGGAAGGTGCACGAGTAGCAATAGGAGGGGTAGCTAAAGGGTCTTCTACAAGAAGAGGGACAACTAATTCACCTCCTGGGATTAAAAAGAAAAAGAAAAACACAATTAGTATATTTGTAGATAGACACAATTCCTCGTCATTCTCAGTGGCTGTATTTCATAGGTTAGGCATCAGAAATTACGACAGAATGACCTGGGTCTGCATATGGATCCTTTCTTGTTGTAGCCTGATCATTCTAAACTGGCTTATAGCCCATTATATGCCTCTTGCCACCAAAATCTGAAATCCCTAGGTGTTAAAGATACTCTCAAGTAATTATTTAGCTAGAGTTCAAGTACGCTGTTTCCAGGATCTGCTCATGAGATAATGACATTCCATGTTACTGTTGGCGAGAACTAACTGACTATCAGAATTGGTGTGCTTGCGTTCATGCATGTGGTTAATCCGGGAGCCCTAGCATTTCTTTATTATTTTCTTGGGTTTCTACTTACTTGCTCCTGTGAGGATGAGCGTGATGCATTTCTCCATGTCCCAGAGATCAAGATCAGTGAACAAAAAAGACTGTCTTTAGTACTTTAAGCTACTTTTATTAACATTTATCAATTTCAGTCTTCATTTACTGTACGCTAAGTGAGGGGGAACCTAGGAGAGGTTGAAATTGAAATGTTCATCTAACAAACCCTTTTGGACTACACTTTTCCAAGAATTCCCCATTAAATGACAACTCACCTGGCACTGATCTCATGTTATGTTCAGGCATTGCTTTGATGCTCTATGCGACATACGCTGAGCTGGATACTATTTTTAAAAATACCCAGACTAGATATCATGCCTTGTGGAAAATTTAGATTCAGAAACGTAGAGATAGCCAAGGAAGGTTTTAAAATTGGCAATTCTTGGGCCACCTGGGTGTCTCAGGCGTCTGGCTTCGGCTCGGGTTATGATCTCAGGGTCCTCAGATCAAGCCCCTTTCGGGCTCTGTGCGCGGCTCAGCAGGGAGTCTGCTTCCCTCTCCCACCTCCTCTGCCCCTTCTTGTTCTCTCTCTCAAATAAATAAATAGAATCTTAAAAAAATTAAAATCAGCGATTTTTATCTAGAGTGGGAAAAAATAAATTGGTTTACCCACAGACTCGAGTTATTGCACTTATAAACATGTGGACTAGGCCAGGAAGGAAAGTTCAAAGTGGTTCAGTAAATCATAGTGTGTTGCGAATCATGGGTCCCACAAATATTCTGTGGTAGGTGTTACTCACCTAATTGTTTATTACTCACCTAATTGTTTATTACACGTTTATTACTCATGTACGTAAGCAAGATAATCGAGGTCTCTTTACAGTGTTATTTTTCAAACAGAGAAAGAATCTGCGGAAGTCACAGTTATCTCCTCGTTGAATTTATTCCAAAAATGTATTCCAGCTGTTTTAAAGAAAAATCTTCTAGCAGGGACGGCATGATGTTTCCCAGTCCCAGTCTGTCAGACAGGCGAGTTGCTAACAGGATATGATTTCTGAGCTGGGTCATTAAGCACTCAGCCAGGTGTGATGCTCTTGTGTGTTCTGCCCTCCACAGTAACTGCCCTGATGGGATGGTCAGTGTTCGAACATCTATTGTCAGATAGATGTTCAGCTCTTGCTGAAGTGCCCCTTATAGGTGACAAAGTCAGACTTGTGTCTCACAACTGCTAAGTTCCAGGTGGACCAGCCTTTGAGCTTGCATGGTCTTTCCAGGTTTTTCCTACAAAGACTGACTCACAAATGAGAACTCTCCTGCTCAGCTTTCCATACTTTATCTCTTTTTTTTTTTAAAGATTTATTTATTTAGTTATTTGACAGAAATTACAAGTAGGCAGAGAAGTAGGCAGATAGAGAGAGGGGGAAGCAGGCTACCTGCCGAGCAGAGAGCCTGACGTGGGGCTTGAACCCAGAACCCCGGGAGCATGACCCGAGCTGAAGGCAGAGGCTTAACCCACTGAGCCATCCAGGTGCCCCAATACTTTATATCTTTAAAAACATTTCCTGTGCCTCAGTTGGAACTGCTGAGTCTAACCGGCCCCGATTGCAGCTGTGCTAAGAGAAGGGTGTGCCAGGAGGAAGGCTGTTGCATACCTTCAGAGCACCTGAGAAGAGCCGTTTGTTCCCACGTCAGACGCTTTACTCCAGAATTAGCCAGTAACATTGTGTTATGCAGAGAGAAATGGAGTTGGGGAGGGTGGCAGTAATGGACATAATGTATGTGTATCTTTGGAAGGCAAGCGGTCATCTCTGTCCTACCTGGTAATGTTACCACATGTAGGGAAATAACACATGAACTTGAGAATTTCAAGATGGTATTTTGGGCTATGTGCTAACCCTAAGCTGCTTTCTTCTGGGGCTCAAGAGTTTCAAGCTACTGAGTGAAATGATCTTCGCAGGGTTGTCAAAGCTTCAGACTTGCTTTACTGGACCACTGTGAGGTTTGGTTTTGTTTTGTTTTACATTGTGAACATATATAATTCATATAGCTTGCAGCATATTTAATGGATAATATAAAACTTTCGCTAGTTTTTATAAATGGAATTTGGAGCACAGAGTTCCCTAAAGGTAAGCCAGTCGTAAAACGAACCCTGAGTTTACTTTTCACCTTATTCTTCTGGGGGCGGGGGGAAAGGGTGTGTGGCAAGTGATAATATTTAAGGTGACCCATGGAAAAAGGCAGTGCTTAAGGACAAGAAGGGCGAGGAGAAGAGAAGGCCTATGATATGTGTTTGAAGGTTCCCTAGAGATTACTCAGGGACGATTTCACTTTCCTTAAAAGAACAAGACAGGACTTTTTTTTTTTTTTAACCCATCTCACCTAGAATAAAAGTTTAGCTTGTGTGTTCTTTTCTGGCACAAATACTGAGAGTCCTCTGTTCCTTAGGACAATGATAAAAATCTGCCCCATGTATATTAAGCAGAGAGGGAACTGGGATAAAGGACAAGGAATATCATTCTGCTAAAAGTCAAAAGCCTGGTACAAAACATTTAAATATAAAGGCAAATCGTTAACTAGGGTGCTGGTGTCCCTCAAGTGAGATTAAGATTACCGCCTTCATAATTACACAGTGGCATTCATTTGCAATTTTAGTGTACCATCTGGGACACCCAACTGGTGTCTTAAATTTGCCTCCTTTCCCCCCCTCTTCTTCCAATCCTAGCTAAAGCTTCTGCAGTGTCTTTGTTGTCAAAAGTCTACAAAATCCACAAACTGTTCATTTGCAGTCGAATTGCACCCCCCTTTCCTTGCTATTCACTTCCCAATTCAACACCTTTTAACCTCTCTCGGATTAAAAGAAAATGAGTAGAAACCATCATTTTCATAATGAAGTGGAGAGACGTAAAGCTCACCAGTTCATAAAAGCTTCTAAAAGGTTGGTGAGGCCTTAAGTGACATGATAAGACCTTACTTTAAAACTAAAATGATGGGCACACCGCTATTTCAGAGTTTAAATAAAAGGACCTGTCTAAATTACTAAGATTCCGTTTTCTTTGCCATTTTTGTTAATAATCCTGGCAGCAGTGATAAGAAAAAAAATAATAAATGAACCCCCTTGCCAGGGAAGAGTGAGCCCCAATTCTGGTCGTAGGTTCATCAGTGAAAAGGGAGAAAAGCGTTCATAGTCTACTCCCTTCCCTGGTGTCTTAAGATACTCAAGAAAGTCTTCAGTTTAAAGGGAAGTCAGCTGGGCCATGGGAATTGTTACAAAGGGGAATTACAGTGAAAATGAGACGGAAAATTCTAGAGATGTATAAATGCACAAGGTTCCTGGGACAGGTGTGTGAGTTGGTGTGTATAATCAATTTTAATATCAAATTCCATCTTTAAGATTTAGGATGATTATAGTGTCCTGGGGAGTTCCAAGGGCACACATCCTTTGATATGAGGAGATGAAGGATACATTTCTCCCATGATTAGATCCTTAAGAGAAATAACTTGGGTTATAGAGAGCTATTTAAGATTTCATGTTTATTTGTTTTAATCTAGAATGATTCCCTCAGAAATGCTGGAACAGCGGATGATACTTTTTTTCAGTGCCCAAAGACTATGGAGTCAGGGATCTACCAGACGTCTATGCTTATAAAAGTATTCATTGAAGCAACAAGCCTAAAATCATAGAGGGTTACAGGCAGAAACCCTGCACTGTAGGCCATCTACACCCTAATTTCCTATTCCATTCCCCAAATTCTTCTTTGGCTTGGAATAAGAACTATCTATATTCCTTAACGTTAGCATTTTAAATCAGGAACATATACCCCTTTTTGACAGGGTTGTGCTTTTCTTTAAACTAGAGAGATCACTAGGGATATAAAGGTCTATTTTAGCCCTGAAGGCTGCCCTGCTTTTTTGCTTTATGAGTGTATTTATAGATATATAATTCATGTGTCTAGGGCTGATACCCAGCAAAAGGGGCTCTCTGCCATCGAAAAAGACAGTGTATTAAAAATTTAATAGAACTTTTCTGAACTGTGAGAATGTTGCAGGTGATGGTGAATGCAGTGGGTCATCTGAAAAAAAAAAAAAAAAAAACGGAGCAGCATGAAATTTCAATGTGGCTCCAACCTTTGACTCTCTGGAGATATTTGAGTCTAAGAAGTCACAAAAATACCAAACCAATTACACCAAAGAGCCAGACTGAGAGAGGACACCATGCTCCAGTTCCTTGAATTTCTTTTATGTCTATTTAGGTTCCTTACTTCACCTCTTATTTGCATTTTTCTAGTTCTCTGCTGAGAAATTCACCTAATACGGAAA